CAAGTAAACTGTCACTTCTCAATTAAGAAATGTCTTCATGTATTATACGAACATTGTTAAAACCTTTATACCAGGGCTGCTCTTCTACAGTCACCATTAAAACCAGCTCCAAGATAAATCACAACATTACCAAAGCCAAAAATTATAAGCAAAACGACAAAGATGAAGGTACTAGACTGGATATTTCATTTCAATTCAATGACGCATTGCAAGTGACAAAAAAGGTTCAATAGAAAACTATTAACTTATAGTCACTGATTATAAATAATAATAATAATAATAATAATAATAACAATAATAATAATACAAATTCAAAAGTTTGGGGTCAGTAAGATTTTTTAAATGTTTTTTTTAAATTTCTTATACACACAAAGGCTGCATTTATTTGATCAAAAATACAGTAAAAACAGCAATATTCTAAAATATTACAATTTAAAATAGTTTCTAGTGTTTTTACTGTCACTTTTAATCAATTTAATTTAATTAATCCTTTTTGAATAAAAGCATTAACTTCTTAAAAAATTCTTAAAAAATTCAAAAATTCCAAAGACTGATTTAATTACGACATTCACGATGCTTCATGAAAGTGGATGATTTTCAATGGAAGAAAGACAAAGAATGGTATTTTTTTGACCATTCAAAAAAGTAAACTGCGACAGAGTCTAATGAAATATGTTTAATGCTGACCATAGTTTACATTGGCTGAATAAGAGTAGATTTATGTAGCGTAACATTATTCATACAGATTTGTAATGACAAGTTATTCAAGCCTAATATAATCCTTAAAGTTCAAAAGGAATGCAATATCAATAATAGTAAAACTATTATTAATCATTACTCTGTTAATTACAGCAACTGTGATGCAATTTGCATTAGTGCATCAAAACTGAATGCACTAAATTGCAAAAACCATCAACATTAACGTAATAAATAATTATTTCCGTGAGCCTACTCTGCTCTGATTGGTCAGATGGCCCAGTCTGTTGTGATTGATCTACCACGTTCAGTGCGTGTCAGAAACGATATGCCCATTTAGGGCTGGGCGATATAGCTAAAAAAATGATCAACGATATAATGTTTCATATCGTTTGGTATAGATAATTATTGACATTTTTAATAACCTTTTTTAAAACAAAGAGCAATAGATTTTTTTTTTTAATTTAACCACTGTATTTTTAAATTAACCCAATTTATTGAGACAAACAACACATTTTTTGTTTTAACAATCAAACACAAAATAAAAATTAAAACAAATATCTAATTTCTAATGTTTTATATGCAGATTAAATAGGTCTTGAGGAAACTTTTGGCTTGTTTCCCGAGGCCACAGGAGGGCGCAATGAACAAAATAATGCAGCACATTTAAATTGTCAACGCAAGGAAGTAACTCTATAAAAACGTGCATTACGTCTAAATTAACTCATAAAAATCCAATATAATTTCGTAAATTGCATAAACAATTATGAACAAAACAGCATCATGTATTTATGCATTGCTTAATCCAAAAAGCCGAAGCGCCATTCATACAGATTGCATTTAAAACATATGAGACGCAGTGAAAAGGAATAAACTTCCACAAATTTGAGACGTGTTTTCTACAAGTTTAAACTATAACTTTGCATGGCTTTCTATACATCTCTTGTGAGACGCGAGTGCAGCAGTCATATTTGTCCGACTAAAAAAATGTGCTGAATATGCATTCTGAATGGCTTGGTTTCGGTTTTAACCTAATCAAGATCTTCTCCGCATTGAGCTTCTATATTTCTCTAATATTTTGAATGAATAACGTAGCAGCGGCGCGTCTCGTGGGCTAGACTAACAAAACATTAAAATGCAACAACGTCACTTACATCATCACCGCATCTCGCGCGCCACTGATGACACTCCCTGATGCACACCTAACATTGCAAATGTTTAATTTAAATTCGACTAATATTCATTCTTTATTTACAATCTCCTCATCACAGGCAGGCACAGCACTCATTTCAGCATGTGTTCGTGTTTGTGTGTGCGTCACTCATAGCATGTGCCTATATCATGCGCTATATCGAACATTTTTTCTATCGTTATCGAAGAAGGTGTACCGTCGATAATTATCGATACCGTTTTATCGCCCAGGCCTACTTTGCAGCCTCATCTTTCGGATGTGAAAATAAAAGAATTTACTTTCACAGCGTAGGACACAGCGTCTTCTCGACATGATTTTAACCAAACGAACAAGCTATAGTGTTTGAGGGCGGGTCAAGTGGCCGGCAAACATATTACATAGTCGGGCATTATGCAAATGTGTTCCCCTGTGATGTGTAGCCATCATGGAAGTGGGATTCGAATTACTAACGACTTGTTTAGGCTGTTCAGAGTCGATTCTTTCTTTTGGGAGACAATAACTTTATTTATCGTGCACTTTCGGCTTTACAACTTTGCAGATCGTTTACATTCACATACAGCTACATTACACACTGCATGAAAGGCAATATTCGAAATGGCATAATAGGGGAACTTTAACAAACAATTCAGACAAAAGTGTTTCATGCAAGAAACATCGGACTCGTCACTTTCCTTACAAAACCAGAGCTTCTATTTACTGACTCAGTCGTTCCTGGAAAGTCTCAATGAAGTTGGCTTTTCCAGCAGATGTGTGTAATCATATAAACTATAATTGCAAACTTTGCCGAGCCCTGGACACAACCTTCAATCTCTGGAAAATTAAGTGCTGGACATCTGGGTGGACGGGAGCATGGCTCCGGGTGCTGAAATGACAGAGTTCAGGGCTCCGATAAGTGCTTCTGAAAAAAAGCCTTAGTTCCAATTTAGCATGAGTTTTTGTTTTAAAGTGGCCCAGAAGAGAACAGATGACTGTCACCCTTGCCATTTTCAAACCTTGTGATTTCTAGGAGGGATTTGTGCAAAATTGTACAATTTTGTCATTTCTGTGATTCTGTCTTGCTTTTCCCCCTTCTTTTCCTACTGTTTCAGCAGATTTTTATTCATATTTTCTTGCTGTCTTTCATGCACAATAAATCGCACGTCTCACATGGTCTCGTTTTCATAACATCATGTTGGATGCCCCATTTGTCATTTATTATTTCATTTTTACGCAAGGTGCCAAGAGAGTGCAGAAACTGTTGAAAGGTAGCAAGCAGAGCAAGTGTTCTCAATACTATTTTAACACTAAAAGGCATAGTTCACTCCAAAAATTGACATTTTATCATCATTTACTGTATTGCGCCAAACCTGTGTGACTTTCTTTTGTCTGTGGAACACAGAAGATTATATTTTGAAGGATGTTGGGATCTAAACAACACTTGGACCCCAATGACTGTCATTGTACGGACAAAAAAAAAACGTATTTTTATTGTTAACTAAAATTATAAAAAATTGTTTTTGGTAATTGAAAAACTTAAACTTCAATGATAATTAGAAATGTTGTCTTGGCAACTAACTGAAATAAGCTAAAAAGTACTGAAATAAAATAACAAAAAACTCAACTACATAGAAATATATAAAAAAAATGTAAAAAACATAAATATTAAACTAAAAATGAAAATATAATATCAAATATAAACAATACTAAAATAACACTTGTTTGGAGCAACATGAGGGTGAGTAAATGATGACAGCATTTTAATTTGGGGTAAACTATCCCTTTAAGGGAGCAGTTAAATATAGTTTAACTATTCCTTTAAATATGATTATCATGATTCATCTTTAGAAAGAATAAATAATAAATAAATAAAAAATGCTATTGTCTATTGTTTTGGCTTTACTACTCTAGTTGAATTAATTCTAGAGAATATTAAAATATCTACAGCTATCGCTGTGGAAAATCTTGCCTTTGTCTTATATTTATGACCAGAAAGAGGGCGCTAATGAAACACTCATCCCTGAGCATCATCAGCATGAATGACAGACTCCCATAATGCAATGGGAGGGGGCCACCAGACAAGACAAATGCATGGATCAGACGGCGAGATGTGCATATCTTGCTTTCTTAATGATCCAAAGAGTTATTTATTAATACTGTTTTAGTTATTTATTAAGCGAGATGTGTCTGGTGCTGGGAGTTTCTGCTGATAAACAGCCCTCGGTTTGCACATTAAGACCAAGATGATACTAAGACGTGCTGTTGTCATACGGATGAAAAAACATGACAGGAAGCTAGGAGGATTATTGCAGCTGAATTTGCATGTGTGCCCAGCGGTGCGGCGTGTAGAAGCAGGATGTCAAGGGACGGGTCAGATCACTTGAAGCTCTGGGCGACGCAGACACACACACACACCCACACAAACTACTACCTAGAGAACATGCTAACCAGACAACATCAGGATCTAAAATACATCTGGCTTCATACAGTGTGCATGCAGGAGACCATACCACGAATATTGCAAGCCTTCAATTTTACAGCAAAACTCCTCCAAAAAAAGATACAAAGGGGTTGAAAATGAAAGGTGGGGATATATGGAAATAAGAGGTTGTGATATAGTTTGCAGGGCAGATCAGAAAAGAAACCGACATGATTAAAGGGTGAAAGAGAAACTCAAAGTTGAGTTTGAAGTTCTCAAAGTTGCAAAGGAATTCACAGATGAACACAATTTAATTTTAACACAATAATGGCTGACTGTACTTTTGAAAGTGGCACTTAAAGTACAAATCTGGGCTTGAAACACTTAAAAAAAAATGTAATTATTTTCTGACTGAAGTGAAAGAAATTAAAGGAGGATCATAACCTTTTATGATTATGTGGTAGCTCAGGAAATATGACATTGGGTTTGTAGTGTTAAAGACAAAAAAAAAAAAAATCACATTATAATGGTTATTCCAGTGAACAGGAAAACAGTACTGTGCAGTGAGCAGATCCCTGCTGAGTCTAAGCAGATGAACAGATTAGTCCGAGTAACTTTAGATCTGGCCACAAACACACCGCAAGATGAACCCCGACAATCTGTGCCTGAGAAAGCAGCCAGGAAAGAAAGAAAGAAAGAAAGCACACATGCACTCACTCGTGAAAGGTCGTACTCCGGTCGTCTTCGGGCTGTCAGGTCGTCGTAGGATGGAGCTGGTCTCACCTGCTGAAGCTGATTCCTGATTTGCTGCAATCGTTCTTCATTACTAGAGACAGAGAAACAAGGCCGTTAAGAGAAGCTCTCCATTCAAACACTCTGGAAAATAAACTCACCAATCTGAGTGATGACCTTCTAATTCTAATCAGGGTTATTATAGTCATCATTAAATCAAAGCGTTAACGAGAAAGAAAAAAAAAACGTATTCAGCTAGTTGCCAAGGCAACATTTCTCATGTTCATTTATGATGTACTGAAATAACTAAAACTGAAATATAAATTTATTAAAACTGCAGACATATTTGGAAAAACAAAATGACAATTAAAAAAGACAAAAACACAACAAGATTACTAAAACTTTAACTAAAATTAACATGAAAATGGAAAATATGAAAAAAAACATTCAAAATATTAAAAACCTTAATAGTATCTCAATGATACTAAAATAACATGATAAATGATTCTAATACCAAATTATTCGATAAAGTTATACAACTGCAATCATTATAAAAAGACAGTCCATCAGATGAAAATGTAAACAAACATATGAATGAAAAGTAAGGGAAAACTAGTAGCAAATAAATCACCACAGCAAAAACAGTAATCATTTATACCACAGTAAACCTGTCTCATCCTACCGTTTAAAAAAAAAAAAGTGTTTGACTTGAGGCTGAAGTTAATGTGAAATTCTGTTTGTTAGATTTCCAAAATGAATGCAGCTAAAATAAACTACACTTGATGTAAAATTCAGTTCATTAAATTATCCATCTGTAAGCTCCATAAACACACATGTAACCTAAGGGCATGTATTGATTCAGAGCAGAACTAGCATTATAAAATCAACATTTAAACTCTGTCAACTTTTACTTCAAATGAATAGTACAGCAACCATATAGAAATTAGAAAAGAAAAATATTTGTCATTTTTCTGCCAATCAAATTTCCTCTACACAGCAGTATATGTAACTAAATATGCAATAATTGCATATGCAATTATATGAATATGTAATTGAATGTTAATAATTAACAACTATAATATATAATTATCAATATAATTAATAATTACATATTATAATGATTAATATTAATTACATACTCATATAATTACATATTAATATATAATTATCATAATTTAATATATATTTATCTATCTCTCTCTCTCTCTCTCTCTATCATATCTAATTAATTATTATAAATATTATAATTATAATAATAATAATAATTATTATTATTATTTAGGCATAATTACATAGGCAATTACATTAAAATAATTAAATATATTTAATGACATACTATAATTACACATATTTCATGTGCAGTTAAATAGTTATTGAAATAAATTTAATGGCATTTTGTGGCAATTAAATATGTAAAATAACACAAATAATTTATTTGATTGCATATTTAATAACTTAATTAATTATTTTTATTAATCTAAATAAATAAATACATAAATAAATAAAAAAATTACCAAACAAACCTGACTTAAAGTGAACATTTGAAATTACCTGGTAGTGCTATGATACATGTCCAAAAAATAAAGCAATTAATAACAAACAAAAAAAAAAAAAAAAAAAAAAAAAAAAACCCCTAACCAAAA